TCGGTAGCAACTTTCGAAACTTCCACGTCTCGATTGAGAATTCTACTTTCCACGACTACACGAGCTTGCTATGTTCGTACGTTGACGTGCATTGCCGGCCAATTATCGTGGAAACAATGCTCGGCAATTACGCGAGCAAAGACTGAATACAATGCGAGAGGAAGAAAGAAAGAAAGAAAGAAAGAACGAACGAAACCGCCGGTCCCTGTTTATGTGGCAACGTAGAACAACGACGAGGAGGATGTCGTCGGGTGGCGAAGTCCGACCGCCCGACATTGAACTTGGCCCCGTGCCGGAAAGTTTTTAATTTATTCGAGCAACCCCGTGCCCCCGCCCACGATTCACAACTCTCTTAAGGGAATCCAAGAAGTCGTTCCACCGTTTCTTTTCCCCTCTCCCTCTTCCACTGGTTCACATGGAAATGGTTTGTTTACGGGATAACCCCGAGGCCGCGAGGCAAGAACGCGAGAATCGAAAGTTTCGCTCCTCGGCTTAATCCAACGGACATAATCCAACGGGATTGCTAAAAACTTGGTGATAGTTTTCAATCGCGACTCGGTGATTCGCGCATTAACGACGCGTCTTTTGTCTTCCGCGAGTCGACGCTCATGGTTATGGAACGACGCGAGGAACGAGGGTTGAATCTTTTGAATTGTTAATGGATCCGAGCTGGAGTAGGTTTTCCTTGGTGTTGGAAATATTCTTGTAGTTTGTCAAATGTAATTTCTGTAGATTCTCGATGGATACAAAATGTGCATCTGTTGGAGAGTATGTGAATTTTATACAATTATAATAGTTAAAATAGTTGTCTTGAACATATGTTTATTTCGATATTAATGTAGTTTTATTTCAAAATAGTTTCGGTTATTTCTGATGCTAGAGCATGTTGTAAATTTTTTTTTAATTTTTTAATATCATATTGAAAGTAATTTTAACAGTTACTTCCAAATAAAAAGATTGCGATAGCTCTGGTGCAAGAATTTAATTTTACATATAGAATAATAAAAATAATTAATCGTTGAAGGAATGCATTGTATCGTATAGAGTATAAAAATTACTTTAATATAGAAGCGATTAAACTTTCATTTGGTCAAACATGGCGTTTCACAAGTAACAATTCCAAGTCAGACGAAAAAGCTTACTCCCTTGTCCCACATGCAAATCACAATTATTGTTGCAATGATTTGTTTGTGAAGTATGCATATAATGCATGCGTCATTGTGATTTTTTTCTTCTTAATTAACTTGTTGCAACAGATACAATCATTAAAGCGCTTTGATTTCTTCATTTATGTGTTTCTATAGTTCGTTCTGCGTACTTTCTCAAAAAAGAGAACAAGTATTTTCATTCGTGGAAATTCATTTAATTAACAAAACGTATTCTTCGATTCAATTGAGATCAGAAGGAGGGGAAAATTGTTCGCATCGTTGGAAATGAAAATTTCTCATTTAAAAATATATATTTCATACAAAAAGAGATAACTTTAATGAGCGAAACTTGATATTACAATAGTCATGTAGGAATTTAACAATGAAAGTCATAAAATTCGATATTTAATTCACAGTTTTAATTTAGAGTTTCTTTTAATAATTGATATGTTAAAAAAGTTTTCTGCTTTCAAATAGTAAATTTACTAGCCAATTTTTACATTAGGTTTCTTTTTAAAATTTCAATTGACGTTATTACTCGCGAAAATTTATAATGACATTTTCATTTCTATTATAAAAGATTTTTACTATAAATTACGAGTAGTATTTCGGTTAATTTCTAATAAAAAGATAGAAGTCAGGTTTCTAAAATTTGCTCGAAAAAATTATGTAAAATATTACAACATTAATTCACATTTTAAGACTAAGATGATATATAGTACTGATATACGGTATAGAATTTATTTTTTAATCTATTTATTAATTATCATTGATTTTTATATTATATTTCCTTTAACGTAACCGAGGAAATAGTAACATTCAAATAAATTTCCAAAATATAGCAGATATGTCAGAATCATTGGAGCTACGTTAGTCCTTGTACGTAACAGATCGAACGTAATAGATCACACGTGGTGTCAGAATCTCAATATACCAGGCCAGAAATGCAAGTGTCTCCAAGGTCTATGGGCTAATATTGGAATTTTGGGATTGGAAATTCTACAGGTGCTGAAGCTATTCGGATATCGCCAAAGATATCAAAGCTACGGGAGACATTCAGAATGTACAGAAATTCTGTCTCGCACGTGAGGTATTCAAAGTCTGTTCAGATTCTAGAAGATTACTCGAGTTCCATGAAAAGTCTAAACATTTCTCCTGTTACGAACAAAGCTGTTGAAAAGCTGTAACTTTGCAAATTTTGACATGAATAAGCACAGCTAGCACTCCAAAAAAATTAGGAATTTTTGGAACACGTTAGAGTTTACAAAGATTTCGTATCCTTCTGATTCTAAAAATAATCCGAATCAATTAGTAGAAATCCAAGAAGCACTTTGGAGTTTGCAGTGCTTCGGAAACTCTAATGCCTTAATTACTTTGAATTATTGACGATAACGATATAACCTTCTTGGTCTTGATATCTAATTTGGTTTCGAAATAGCAGAGTTACAACGATCCATTTAGATGTTTGCAGAATCGACGATCTGAGTAATCCTGACAAGTGGTTCCTGACATGCAATTAGCAGAGCTTGCATGATTTAACGTTTGAATACCTAATATGGATGCATACGCTATTAAATTTTATGAATATGATAGTATTTATTCCTGAATTTCAACATCGTCGCAACCAAATTTTATTCGTAATTAACGTGATGGAAAAAAAGAGTCACTTGGATACAAATAATACTTTATACTTTTAACAAAGAATTTTAAAGAAGCGTCAGTAATAACCGTATCAAATAATACAATAATTCGATAGATTTTTGATTAAAGAAAAAGTTTGTTGAAGTGGCAAACAATTTTAAGTTAACCGTCTTTGAAATTCTTCAATTTTGTGGAATACTTCTGGTCAGTAGTACGTGTCAGTGATTAGGAAAGGAAGATGAGCTTTTTCTCCAAATTCTTGAACTTTGTAGAACATCCACTAATTTCAAGTTTCTAGCCAGTAGCGTATGTTGGCAATGAAAGAAAAGACAAAACATCCCTTCGAATTCTGGAAATTTTAAACTAGTCAGCAAAGGTACGTGGTGCAAAGATAGAAAGAATCGAAAATCGAAGCTGTCTCGATAAATTTCCCAGTACTTAACTTAAAAACTCGAAGCTGTTGCAGACCAAAGATTATGTTTCTTATCAATTTAGCTTAATCTTTTTTTTTCAGTGTCCAACTGTGAAAAAAATGTTGCTTCTTCATCGATCATTCGTTAAACGCATCGTCCTTGATATTTCTTACAAACCAAACATTGTGTCTCAAAACAGCTATCGGTATTACACACGCAACGGATGTAATTCCTGAGCGCGAACGTGTGCGTTTCTTACTTTCGCCTCGCAACAATCCCTCCGTCGCCGCCTTCGGTGTCTCAGGGCACGTAGAGTCGCGGCGATGCAAACAGCAAGGCGTTAGAAAAACAATTTCTCATCGTAGCTCTGAAATTTTCATGAAGACACGCACAGCCGGCGCATAATCGCGCTTAATCGTGGATCGATCTCTCGCCGGGGAGAGGCGGTCGCTAGCGTTGGAATCGCGGTCGGCCTGTTGTTCCGCGAATGCCACTTCCACCTGTACTACGTGTTCAGCTTGTGGGAAAAGCACAAACGCGTAATCGCGCACCGTCTCGCTCGTTTAACGAGCGGAAACATTATTAACGCGCGCGTACGTAGCCGACTTTTCTTCTTCTTTTTTTTTTCTGTTTTTTCTTTTGCCCCGGATGTGTTTGACGCCGCAGTCTTCGTCTACTCTTCTTCTCGTACTCGCTGGGGCAACCCTCCTCCTCCTCCTCCTCCTCCTCCTTCTTCTTCTTCTTCCTTACCTCGTCCTCGTCTGAAATCCATTGTGCACGCAGTCGCCACGTATAGTTTCTCAGGGACGCGTGGCGTGGGAAGGTTCGCAGGGCCTTAAAGTTCGCCGCGGCTAGCCGAGGCAGATCTTCGAGAGGAGCCGGTCTAACCCAATTCGCGTTGCACCGCGACGCGTCTCGGTGCAGCCGTTGTGCAAGCGCTCACGCAGTGAGCCCCAATTAAGTAATTACTGAGCGGCGAGGCTCGATTAGTTCGCGGCCATGGATAATTAGCATCGACGGCTAATCGTCGAAGAAGCCGAAGAAGTAGTTGCGTGGCCCTCGACGATTTTCCGCCCACTCGTTGTTCGAGTCGGCTTAACCCAGTATTTCTCGAGCGTGTTGTTGAAGAAATGAAGGAATGGAGGAGAGTGTGTTGAAAATTGAGGAATTGTCGAGGATGTACGGGAAAAGTGTGAGAAATTTATTTGTGACGATCTTTCGATTTTGACGTCAACTACGATAGTTGATAGATGATGTAATAATCTACGAAATTTTATAAATAATCAGAAATATATTTAATTTTTAATAGGCCCCTCGAAGGTTATTTAAATTTTTGAATTTAATTACCGAGAATGTAAAATATAATACAAAATAAAATTAAATATCAATTCCTGGTAAGGTTGCTTATCGTGTCTCTTTTCTATTTATTATTTTTATTGTACAAATATTATAAATATATTGTGCGCGTTGTACAATTAAAATTTTATTAACACTGTAATGAAACAAGATCACCATGATTATAATAGAATTCTATATATTTATTGAGACAAAAATTATAATTGCTTTATTCATTAACTCTGTTCATTTGAACGTTATAACTTTTATTGTACGAAGTGCATGTCTTCTGGCAAGTTCGTGTAAACGAAGTTCTACTATAATTCATTTAAGGGATTGTTCGAATTTTTAAAAAAATTGCGTCCCTACATATCTAGATCAGTTTGAATATAGTCGATCTCCCGTCTTTGTGTTTGCAGCTACTCGATCATTAATGTTCTCTGTTTTTTTTTCTCTGTTACAGCCGAAAGAACTCGATCGTTCTCAGGACACAGCTGTCCGTGAGGGTGCACACTATTATAGGTGAGTACATCAGAGACTCGATTCAAATCTAGCCAGAGGCTCCCACGATCCACTTGGACGGATCATCCGATTCACGACGATTCCTCGACCTCTAGCAGGCATCACTGGGTCAAATCTTGCTCCACTTACTGCGTTTCGGTACAACGATATTGATAAAGAATCGTTAGTCGCGTAGGAAATGTCGTCCACTCGCATCGATAACACTAGTTACGTTTGATTCTCGTGTGTTGTTGATATAATAGTGGTCAAATGTGAGAAGATAGATATATCCACGTATATCGCCAGGAGATTGAGATTAATAGGTTAAAAATTTTATCATTTATTTTAATATTCTTTTCACTTTAAAAAGAGAAAAATCTCGGTAACGCATAATTTGTAAAATATTCCATTTTGTTACTTCCATCAGTGCTGCTACGTTTAATATTCCCTTTCGATATTTTATTTTAAAAAAGAGTATTAAATTACGATTTTGATTTAACTTTAGTCAATTTCTCGTATATACGAGCAGTGAAATATTTCACTGTCAAATTTTTAAATAATACACGCGTTTCAATCAACTTGCGTGACAACTTTTGACTGTGACTATGATTACGTAATTCAGATTGCAATAGATACACATTTGTATTATTCATGTTACATGAAACTCATTTCGGACAAAAATTTCAAATAACACGCAAATCGAAGGCAATCCGTATTTCCCAAATAATAATAAGAAATTGATCGGAGATGAATTGAATTAATTTTTATTGGAATCGTACCTCAATGGTTTTTAATACGTTGCATTAAATTAAATATCAAAGGAATTAGATAAATATCACAATAGACAGATGTACTCATACATTACACTATGTAATTTATAACAAATTAGAAAATACACGAATCGGTATAACTTCAACTACATTCGTCACCGAATAATTAAATATCATTAAATGAAATATTGTCTGCAGATTTCAGTACAGAGGAATCACGATAAATTTCCACGAATCGAAATGAAAGGATTTATCGAATGAAACGATTCGTCCTTTTGTCATTCGCAAATGGTACATCCGTACGATCGAGTTACACGTTCACGAATTTTCGTTCGTTAACAAACGAACAATGCAGATCCACGCGGTATCGCGGTAATTATCGTTCACAAAGGAAGCTTAAATCAATTTTCGTGCGCGAGAGAGAAAGAGAGAAAGAGAGAGAGCGAGTCTCGATCCCTCGCGGTCCTCTCGAGGAAAGATTTAATGTAAAGTCACTGTCCGAGATAATTCTTTTTGATGAAAACGTCGCGCAGAAGTAATGATCAATGTATAAAGTGCAGAACAGTGTTGGCGGCGACAAAAATCGGCCTAGGGCTTCACTAGGGAGTACGAGCCATTAATCACAGGTGACAGGTGATGGTTAACCATGTCGAATAAAAACTGTGCCCGCTGACCGCGGTGCAGTTTCTTTTTCAAGCCGCGGCTCATGCGGCCAGTGTGACCTCGCAATAGAGAATAATTGTGCAAAGGTAATCGTCGGTTATACGGACATTTTTCATTTCGTGTACGAGATCTTACGGGCGAGATTAATACCTTTTTCTTTCTTCTTTTTTCTTCTTTTTTTTTTTGTTGTCGTTGTTGGAGCAGTGTGATGTATACGAGACGTCTATTGTAATTTGTTACAGCAATTGTCACGTTGTGTCTTATCTTTTCGTTCTCTTTTTTTGCTAATTGAGAAAAGCGTGAGAAATATTTTAATATTACATCGAATGACAAAATTAAACATTTGAAAACTGTTGCATGTTTTAATAATATCTGTTGAATTACAGTGCTTCAGATTGTATGGATCGGATTAGATATACATATCGATAGCTGTAATATTGAGTAAAGTGGATTTAATTTTAAATTTCATACTGAATTTCGAATTTCTCATTCCATTGTGGATTTGATTGTTCAGTCTTGTTTCAACGAGTAGAAGAATTTTTAATGTTTGAAGAATAACGTATTTCAGAGATTAACTGTCACAAAGTTCAGGGATTAATTAATTTTCTCCAAAGATTATAATATTTTATTCAAATATAATCTCGTAGACTTTATATTAAAGTTTCTGATAAGATTAACCAAGTTTTCTTTAGAAGTTCAACATTAACGTTCAATTATTTTCCACGAAATATCCACTTAGAAGTTTAGTGTAATCTGTTGTAATAAGTCAGAAGCATAATTTTTTCTAATAATTTCAACAGGGAAATAACAAATAATACAAAACCTGTATGTTCCCAATCGCGCAACAACTTAACATTTTTTTCATTATTACAAATACGAATTATGTATCAATCCTTTTTCTCGATTCAGTTAAGAAAACTAGGTCGAACGTTTAATTTCACCGAGTAACGAAATTAACATTCATGAATCATTTCTGTACATTCTAAAATTTTTGACACATTCGTAATCAATGCTTTTTTCCATCCTAAAATATTATAAAATTATTTCACTTTCCTCTCTCTTGTCTGACAATTGATTTTCAAGCAATGCCTAACCCTAGCCTATTTAATTCATCAAAAACTAACGTTGCGTGTACAGTTATTTTCAATCGATTCGTATCATCAAATTCCAATATTTTTAATATTTATATTGCAATATTTTTTCTCATCTGTGTCTCCCATAGATTCTATAATTTCATGAAATTTCAACAAATTCAATTACTACCATACAATATCGCGATAAATCATTGTTTAATCTTCGATCAAACATAATAACGAACCCAAAGACGAAACGAGAATTCAGAATGAATTCGCGAATCTACGCGTCAATGGCCGCCAATGCGTGAATTTATTATTTCAGATAATATTTTCGTAATTATCTTACGATTCGTCGTTATCGTAGTCGAGCAACGACTGAAATACGTCTCTCGGTGTTCCAAATAGGGTTGGTCGGCCTCCGTCAAATCACAACATTACCGAGGAAAATTGAATCGCGCGGCACGCGACGAGATTTCCCGCTAAAATCACCGTGAAAATGGGTCTTCGCTTGGTTCCTCGTCGGAAACGTGGCCGTGTCGTCGTCTTTTCCCCTAGCAGAGAGAAAGAGGATGGACGCGGGGGGAGAGGGGGCGGAAAAAAGAAAAAAAGATTGATCGCCGCGAGGCGATCAAGGCAGCCAGCGCCTGCGAAAAATCTTATTTTATCAATCCCCGGGAAAAGACGGCCGGCTGAAATTCGACGAGGCGAATGGAAAAAATGTAACAAATGATCGGTTGTTACGGCGGCGTGGCGCCCAAGAGACGCAAAAGTGTGATTTCAGCGGCACGTGTTACTTTTTCTCTCTATCGTGAACCTTTCTTCGTCCGAGATTTGAATATTAAGTTTCACGTCTGAGTCGAGGACGTTTTAAATGTTTTTGCTGATGTTAAATGTAGAAGCTTCTGCACGATAGATACCTAAACTTTTATTCAGTAATTTAACAATGATTTTAGTGAGATTGTCGCATCGTGTGTTATTTACATAGTAATACATATTTTCATTTTTAATTTCTTTTTACGTATTATAACCTTGTTTTTTTAAATTAATTTAAATTTCTCAATTCGATTCATCTAGCTCAGTAAATTTATACTTCAAATCAATTATACCCCTACGAGGCGTGAAATTGTGATGTTTAAAAGTTTGTGTTTATGATGTTGGAATTGATTAAACATTGTGTGAGACGATATTGGTAGTATTTCGAAATTTTATATCCATAACTTCACGCGGCACTACAAATGAAGATTTAATCTCTGTGTCAATTAGAACTAAATTAATGACACATCGTTATTAAAACGCTGGGATTGGAAATTATCGAAATAATTCATTCGGCTGATGTTAATCATTGAGCTTCACATCTGTTGTAATTACGAAATGAGATTCGTTCAAATATTTAAATACGTCTACGTGCATGTAAAGTGGAAGGATTTTCCGTTCTTGATTACATGTACTATTTAAAGCGAAGATTTATAGATTTATGCTAACCATCTGCATATATTTTCACCAAGCATTCATAATGTCTGTTATCTTTGATAGAAAAAGAAAAAAAAGAATTGAGTACGTATCTGATTGTTATACGACACCATGATTGATAGACCGGGGATTTTTATACAAAATCATATCTGCATGAAACGTACTAAAGAAATCAAATCCAAGAAGTAAATTTGGCTATAATACTATATACTTTAAATATTTTATACATTTTTACGTCATTTTTCTCACAAACACGCAATTATTCGTTATGGTCAGCGTGAATGATCAAAAATTCATCTACATTCGTAAATTAGAAATCAAGTTAGAAGATAGTGTACTGATCTGCGCGTACATCAATTAATTCGTCTTCACGACAGAGAGGCAGATAATTGAAAGAACAAAGGCGACGTGGTTGTTTCACAAACGAGCGGTCGTTATCTCGCAATTTCGAGTCCGCGCGAAATTCGGTTAAGCGAATTCTGGATTCTTTTGAAACACACACAGATGGCACAATGGCTCCGATCTCCCCTCATTATTTTTTAACGAACGCACACACACACACACACACACACAGGTGAGATTTATTTCCCAATATGTGCCGCGTACGAGCTTCTGATCGCCGATAAAATGTTGCCGCGCGAATTTTATCGCGGCGCGTTGTTACTTCAGCCGAGAGCGTGACCACGTTATGACTTCCGTGCTGCGGCATAATTCCGCCAACGTAAGTATCCGCGCGTGTGTTCTCTCTCTCGTATGTACAAGTGTAACTGATCTGGCTAGAGTGTAATCGCGATTGTCCTCGTATTCGGGCGCATTGAATCTTGGATACATCGTTGCGTCGGGCGCGTGTGTCGGGTCGTGAAATTCAAGCCCGTCGAGCAGAAATTACTCAAACCGGCCCCTCATAACGTATGCATCGCGTTTTTCTTTACGCCAGAGCCCACCGTCTTGAGTTGTAACTTTCTCGCGTGCTAAGAGCACGTTATGTGTGCCACGCAGCGATCATTTTTCATTGTGCTTAGATGGAATATCTTCGATGAGA